TGATTTCAAGCACAAGATTACCAAGAAGGGGCTTTGGATTGTTAGCTCATCTCCACCAGAATGGGTTAGAACTAAGTTTCTCTAATTTTTAGTTGATACAATTTGTTGTATACCGAGAGCATTTTTAAGCTTTTGGATGCTAGGATTAGCCAAAGGTTTAGTAAGTATGTCTACATCTTAATGAGAGGTAGGGATGTTGTTCACTTGTGTGTTTCCTGCTTCATTTTTCTCTTGAATAAAATGGTGTTGTATTTCAATGTGCTTTGTTCTTGTGTGAAGTACCGGATTATGTACCAACTTTATATATAGCTCTGTTTGTCGCTCAAAATTTGTGATGGTTTGTCTCTTGTTATTTGTAACTGTCAAAGCAAGCTTTGGAGATAGATCACGTTGCCGGTGGCTTCTGTGAACACTTTGTAATCAACTTCAATTGTGTTGAGGGCTACTTTAGGTTGTTGTTTTGATCTCTAATCAATTACAGCATCTCTGAGTTTAATTACCACTTTAAAGATAGGTCTTTTGGTGTCCAGACATCTTCCATAGTCAGCATCAACAAAAGTTGTGAGTTCTATTATTTTGTCTTTTGGAAAGAACAATCCATAGTCAGATGTTCTTGTTAAGTATTGCAAGATTTTTTTTGGCTGCAATGAGGTGAGATTCTTGTAGTGCAATGACAAATCTATTGATACATCCTTTAGTGTAGGCACTGTTGATTCTTATGACAGTAGCATAAATCAGGCATCTAGTTAGAGCCTGAAAAGTTGTTTGTCTATTGATTTTTTTTCATGTCATTACTGAGTTTGTTAATTGCACACATTGGAATAGATGCAAATTAACAATCTTCCATGTTAAATCTTTGGATCAACAATAAAATGTATCTTTTATGATAAAGCCACAATCTGTGCTTTGTGTATTTGATTTCACTTCCAAGATATTGTCCAAAGTGTTCGATAGGTATTAGGTGATTTTATTGATTTCTTCCAAGTTCTCTTCAATTATTAAAAAGTTGTTTCTAGAGTACTATGGTGATTTTTTTGTTGGATACCAAATAGTATAAATTGGGATCAACTGAGTTCTTTAGTTCACATGAGAGCAAGAAAGAATTGATTTGTGACTACCAAGCTTGGAGAGCTTGCTTCAAACTATAAAGTGCTTGTATTAGTTTGAATAATGTCCTAGTGTTCCCTTTGTCATTAAATTGAGTTGAAGTGTGCATATAGATGTTTTTTACTAGTGATTCATTTGAGAAGGTCATTATTTCATTAATTTGACAAAGACTATCATATTTGGACTACTAATCTAGAAATGATAAAGATAATGATATATTTAATATACTTAAATATAATAAAAATGATAAGGATACTTAAAAATACTTACTATTAATATACTTTTAAGTATCTTGGCCTTTGTTTGCTTTTCTTAAATGGGATCTTTCATCTTAATATGTATATTATTAACCCAACCAAATTCAAATTATCCAAAAATAATATAAGAAAAGTAAAGAAATTGTAAGGTATTAAATAATCTAATATCTAATAGAAATATTTAAAATAATTATGATATGTATTAAAAATATAAATAATAATTAATATTTTGTAAAAAAATTGCTAAAGTTTTTATTAATAGAAAAAACTATTTCTATTAAAAAAATCTATATACAATTATTATTTGTGACTTTCAAAAATATCAAATAAAACTAAATATGAAAATTTTACCAAAATTCTATAATTAAAGCAATTTGGCTATATAACTATATAAACTTCTTCATATTATTTTTTACATCTAAAATTTATTATAAAAGCCTTAAAGGTTTTTATATGGTATTATTTTAGATAGCACACATGGAAAAAAGATCAAAGTCATCCATAGTCTTTTCAACATCTTTCTTGTATTCTAACCTTGATTTAAGATTTTTTAGTTCTTTATCAATTATCAATAGTAATTCTTGTAAATTTTATTTTATAAACATATCTTTTTTTTTAATTATTATTTTTAGTACATGTGATTATATTTTTTCTTAAAAAGTCTATTTTAAATTATATATTTGATAATTTTACAAATTTCTATACAATATCAAATTTTTATTTAAATGATAAATAATCAATTACTGATTTTCTTTAAAAGATCAAAATAATATAAAAGTTTTTTACTAAAAGCACGTTGTTTTATTTATTCTACTTTATGCATGTTTTTTTTTTTTTTTTTTTTTTCGACTCCTATATCTTGTATAAAAAAAATTAAATTTACTATATATCTTATATTTATAGATTTAAAAAAATACATAATATGATAGATTTTTTTTTTTTTTTTTTTTTTTTTTTTTGCAATGATTCATACTTAGAATTCATTGCTAGTTATTTTACTATTATAATTAATGCAAAGAAAAATTAGTGAAAAAATTATGGAGATCGTAAGAGTCTGCTTGAAAATTATTTTTACCTTTGGTTACTACCTTCTTGTAAATTATTAAAAATGAATAATTATTTTAGCTAAAGAATCAAAATGAATTCCTCTTAAGAGCTTATTAATAAATTTTACAATAAAAACTATCCATTTCAAGCGTCTTAATTCAAGTTCATTACACATTAATACAATAAACAACATATTTTTCTTATTATCTTAAAAAAATAAGATTTCATATTGAAAAAATTTCTCCTATAATTTTTAAATATAATTTTTGTAAGAAATTTTCTTTTATAATAAAAAAACACAATTAATATAATAAACAATAGAATCTAAATTTTGCAATAGTAATATTCTTAAGTTATAAAGACATTAATTCTTATTGTATCTACATTATCTTAATAATTTTTTTTGAGCATGTCAACAAAATTTCTTTTCTATGAAGTTACTTTTAAATCTTATTATAATTTAAATAAATTTAAAATTTAAAATTATTTTTTTAACATTTTAAACATGTGCATACATTCTAAAAGATTTTTTTTTAAATTACATATATTTTAAGCATAATGTAGTTTTTTTAGTAATATGAAATTTTAAATATTTTAGTAATATGAATTCTTAAAGACTTGAACTATTTTTTTATTTAAAAAAACCCAATTTAGTTACATAATCATTGTAATTATCAAAATTAGATAATAATTGATCCTTACATAAACTTAACTCTTTTATGTTGAATCTTATCAAATTATGTACATGTTAAAAAGAAAAAGAAAAAAAAAATGCCATCATCTTTTATCAAAATAGATGATAATTAGGACTTGAAGTAAAATAAATAAGTAAATAAATAAATAAAAACTGGATTTAGAATGATATTTAAAAAATTGAAATATCTTATGCATTAATAAGCATACATGGAAGACATCAAAGAATCATACAAATGCGACAAAAAAATATTTGTGTTCTTTATTAACAACATCCACCTTATTTTAACCCAATCATTGACAATCATAACAAGATTTTATGAAGTAAGAAAAAATTGTTATTGTTATTCTTTCTTATATCTACTTTTTTTTCATACAAGGTTTTTTTTTTTTTTTTTTTTTTTTTTTTTTTCTTCTTCTTCTTCTTCTTCTTCTTCTTCTCAAGTTAGAAGATTATTATCCAAAAAAATAATCTCAAGAATTATTCTTTGCAAAATCACAAAATAAATGACATAACTTATTATAATCTTTCACAACATTGAAATTAAGATGAAGATCCTAAAAAATACATGTTTTCTTTCTTCTAAATGGTGAAATACAATATGTTTGATACTACAACTATAAAAGATAGTCTCAATGTTTGGTAATATTATTAGAAATTGGTATTTTTCTTAATGTATTATTTGAAGGTGGTTATCAAGATGTATGATAATTATTGCTTAAATATAGATAAATATCAATGGTTCAAAAAACTTATTAATTAACTTTATACAAAGCATATATTATAATTTTTAGCAATCACTATTTGGCACATCTTAAATTTAATTTAGTTGTGAAGTAAATTAAAATTTAACTACTTTTGCCATAACTTATTTTTAAAATAAGAACTATTATCTATAAATAAATATATATATATATATATATATATAACACTTAAAGAAAATAAAGCAAGTTGAAATAAATAATATTAAGTAAAAGTTAATAATATCTAATATTTATAAAAAAAAACTTTTAAAAATTCAATAGATAAATAAGTAAATAAATAATCAAATTTACAAAGTTTATTTATAAAATTCCAATTACCATCTACTTTTGAATTCTTTGTATAAGTGTTTTAGACTTGTCAAAAAGATGCTCTACTAAATATATAAAATCTATACAATAATTTATTCAGTAGTCCATTCATCAAATACATTCATCATGATTATCATATTCTTTGTCACATGTAGGTTGATTTAGTAAAAACTTGGGTCTATTTAACATTCTTTTGATTTATTAAAAAAAATACTTTTATTATTATCTATTTTCTTTCAAAATATACAAAACAATCCAAAATTAGAATATAAATATAATTATATTTTTTATATATCTATTAATAATTATATTTTTTATATATTAATTTCATAATTACATATTAATATGTCTTAATAACATTAACATACTATCCTTGGAGCAAGGCAAGGGCTTTCCAATGTTAGTTTATAATAATAAATATAAGGGAATGTTAAATAGACCCATGTTTTTACTAAATCAACCTATCCATGATGAGTGATATGGTAATCATGATGAATGTGGTTGGATTTTATTGGTTTTGAATCTATTAGTGGAGAAATGAATCTACATGTCATTATTTCTTTTGTTGATAGTTAGGATGGGTGGATAAATTTAGAAAATTTATGAGTTTATTTGACATGAGTTTATTATGAATTTATTAGTAAATAAATATAAACATTCGCCTTATCGTGTCACTCACACGTGGCAGAAGGCGATTGATTCACACACTCTCGGATGAGTCCGACATGGTCACGTGGTGGGGACGTCCTCAATCATGCGGCGACTTTGGGAGAGCACCGTTGTTCGTTCGTTCGTTTCTTTGTCGCCGTGAGCTCTGTAAGTTACGCTCCTGCTCCTTCGCAGCTTCGAATTCCGGCAATCTGTCCCGTCTCCTGAAAACTCTCCGTCCCACGCGATCCTAAATCCGAGGGGCTGCTTCTCGAACAAAACGCCGTGCAAATTGTTGCGGTTTACAAATTTTTCTGCCTAATTGTTCTTTTCCGGCGATTGATTGAATCTGGGTGCCTTGTTTTGGTGGTGTTTCTTGTAGACGAATTTAGGGTTTTGTGGTGGAAACAAGTTTCGGCATTGGAGAGCTCGTGTATTTTGTGGGTTACGCAATTCTGCGGAAAATTGATGGGCGGGGGATCTGGCGCGGTTTTAGTTTAACGTCTGCATCCGAAATTGTGGGTAGAGTGTCAGGGTACGAGGTTTAGTTCGTTGAGGTTTCGTGTTTGTTTTTTTCTTTTGTGTGTTTTCGTGTGCTGCAGCATTGTCTGCGACTTGTGTTTGATTCCTCATCAATTCTCGATTCTCTGTGGCAGAGAGTTAGGATTTATTCAGCGAATTCCTCACATAGCAGCGGTTTTGCTACGGTTTCATGCGGCTGCTAGGAGCCACGCCCTATACGAATTTGTATCACAGTTCTCTATTCTTTGGGTTATAGCAATTTTCTTTTGGGAGTTTTGTGATTGTCACTGCTAGTATTGATTGATCAACAGTCAAGAGAAAATTCTGACACTGTCGTGAATTTGTTTTGAACTAAATCGAGCACTTATAGATCTTATTTAACCCGTGGGCACCATGTTTCAGTGTCACTTATCCTAGGTGCAAGTCGCATGATACCTTCGTTATAACGGCGATTTCTCATCATGTCCCTAGCACCATCCTCTGAGGGAGACCGGCATAACAAATTCAATAACGAGGGCATTGATCCATCGTTCTCGTCGCCACCCTCTTCCTCTTCGTTCACTCTTTCTCCTCAGGAGTCACCTCGGCCAAAGAGTTCATCTTCAGCACTGCCTCCGGAACAAGCTCTCCTTTCTGTGGGATTCAATCAGGATTATGGCTGCTTCGCTTGTGGCACGCAGGCAGGTTTCCGTATTTATAACTGCGATCCTTTCAAGGAGACATTTCGCCGGGAGTCTGATGGAACCGGTGTTGCTCTAGTGGAAATGCTGTTCAGGTGCAATATTTTGGCTCTCGTCGGCGGTGGGAAGGCTCCCAGGTACTCTCCCAACAAGGTTATGATATGGGACGATCACCAGAATCGGTACATTGGGGAGATTTCATTTTGGGGCGAGGTCCGAGCTGTGCGTTTGAGAAGGGACAGAATTGTCGTGGTGCTGGAATTCAAGATTTATGTGTACAATTTTGCTGACCTGAAGCTGCTTCATCAGATTGAGACGTTTGGTAATACGAAGGGTCTTTGCGCAGTGTCTTCTGGACCGACCTCTTGCATCCTTGCATGCCCTGGGCAGCACCGGGGAGAGGTTCGGATAGAGCTTTACAACCAGAAAAAGACTCATTTTGTGCAGGCGCACGACTCTTCCCTCGCTTGTTTGGCACTCAGTCAGAATGGTGCTCTGTTGGCCACGGCCAGCAACAAAGGCACTCTGATTCGCATATTCAGCACGGTGGATGGCACGAAGTTACAAGAGGTGACCATACAACATTTGTGTTAATGCGATAATGCATTAAATTTTGTCACTCGAACTTACCATGGTGACCTAAATTAGCATGGTACTGATTTTGTTGAATGAAAAACACTTGTGTGCTGTACTCAGTTGAAGAGTCTCTTTGTAGAATTTATGACACTGTTAATGTATTATCGACTTACTGAAAATGAATAATCGCTGAAATTAGTACAGTGGCATCCTTCATTGGTTATTTCTCACTTTTGAACTTGATTATATCCTTTTCAGCTTCGACGAGGAGCCGAGCGAACTGAGATCTACAGTATTGCTTTCTCTGCCAATGCACATTGGCTTGCTGTTTCTAGCGCCAAGGGCACCGTGCATGTGTTTAGTTTGAAGCCAACAACTGAAGAACCTCGCTCTGAGGCCATGGCAGCGGCGAGGCCACCATCTTCAAACGGATCGATGGCATCAACATTTGGTGGAAGCAGCAGTTATCTACTTGGTGCTTCATCATCATTATTGTCATTTGCATCCACAAATGCTGGTTCGTCACTCGCCTTAATTAAAGGTAAACCAAGCTCATCTTGTGTGTATCCTCAAACATCGCTTTGTCAGGCACGTTGTCCTTATTGTTGGTTTCTTGGAATTAACTGGATTTGTCCCCAATGAGTGATTTTATCTTGCATCCACCATGTTCAAATAATGAAGATATACTAGGGGATGATCTTGCTGTGTTGTAATATCTAAATTATTTGGAGGATTATCCTTATTCAGTTAACTCTCTGGTTCCTGGTTGGTTCTTCATTCCTTTGTTTTTCTTTTTCTTTCTCCTATGTATGTGTACTGTTCATTCATTGACTTGCATGAAACTGTTCGTGGCAGGTGTCTTGCCCAAATACTTTAGCTCAGAGTGGTCGTTTGCCCAATTTCATTTGCCCGAAGAAACACGAACAATCGTTGCATTTGGCCCACAGAAGAATACTGTTATAATTGTGTGCGAAAACTGCAGGTTTGGTCAACAGAGCCAACATTTTGTGCTTCAATACATTCATTCTAGCTATTATGGAATGGTTAAAATTGTCTAAACTGCTACAGGATTGTGGGGTCAACAACGTCTCCTGATCATGCTCATTATGGCTGTTGATTAGGATTAGAAAGTCTAGTTTTGAATGCGTTGAGGCAAAAAGTTATTTTTCATGTAATCATATTAAAATCGGCGGTTTGTTTTGAGTCTCTTCTGACTAAACTACCTATGCGGTGGTTATCTACGCAGTTTTTACAGGTGTTCATTTGATGCAACCCGTGGTGGGGAAATGGTACAGCTTGAGTATGAGCGATTCATGAAGCAAGATGAAGCGGAGGAACAAATTACTGCTGCTCAGATGCGGAGCGTGAAATGAATCTGTTTAGTGAAGTATCATCTGAATATTGTGATGCGTTCTACGCCTTTCATCTTTTTCCGGTTTTTACTTACGCTGGCAGCCGTTACACTTACACGAGTGTTTTGTCATGATATCAATTCAGATCTTAGAGTAGACTTTACCGCATACTCCTTGGGAACACATGCTTCTCAATGGCTGATTTAAAGCGTTTGCCTTTATTTTGCCCTCTATCGATCAGAATGGGCAGCTTGTGTCTCAGATGTACAGGAAAAGTTTGTAGGAAGACTGTTTATGTGACAGATGTGAATACCAACTCACGATCAAACAAAGCTATTTTTCAATATACAGATAACTTTTCTGTTATGTCAAGTAGTTGTGGTCGTGAAACGTGGACGAATTGTGACTATGGATTGCTTACTACCTATATGATAGTCTATGTTATTAGTTTCCTTCCCTTGTGGAAATGACAGATTTGCCAACATTAGTTATGGTCAGCATATCTCTGGGTGAAACTAGAGTAATTCGTTCAACACTGTAACCGTTCATCCTGAATTTTACAGCAGATAACAACTTATTTTTAGTTTTGTGATTTGAAGGTTTCTTTCCTATTTGTTCACAATGATTTGGCTTGATATTGATTATGTTATCTGTTTTAAAAGCTGTTCAGTAGGAAGTGTTGCATCCATAAGTAACGTCCTTGTCGATAAACATGAGTAGTCTCACATTTCAAAATGCAGTTCGCAGTCACAGCATTTCACTTGTGTAAGGAACAAATTGGACGGATAAGAGCGTATTATAATCTATTTGATATTACTTTCTTGAATCATATGTATATTTTTGGGCACATAATTTATACTTCAATATTAGTTTAGGGATTGTATAAGAGATAAAACTATAAATTTGTGTTGTGGTTATCAAAAAATTCCAAAATGATTGGTGGGTATTTTGGGGTGCGGTGAGAACGGGGATGTATCGAGCATGCGGGCATAGGTGGAGCATCTGATGGAGGCTCTAAAGAAGCTATGGCTGTAGGGATGTAGCTCAGATGGTAGAGCAGAGAGCGGGGCGAGGAGCGGCATAGCGGCGGCGGAGCATCGGAACGATCAAAGAATGCGTGCGATGGTAGCAACACGATTGTGATTTTCTTAGCTCAATCGACGAACCGTACTTAGCAATGTTCTAACCTTGCTAAGTACTAGAACATTGCTAAGTAACCGACGTCAGTATTAGTAGCCAGCTATGAACTCTTAGTTGTAAAACTAGGTATCGTTTAAAGTTTTGGTTCAAGATATTGCTAAGATACCAAAAAGAATTAGTCTCTTGGGCCCAACTCCAGACACACCACTAATATACAAAATCATACTGTTGGGACATCCCCTTCAATGCACGAGATGCGGAACCATTGGCCATACTGCTATGGAATGTCCAAGAACAACACACTTACGACAACCTCCACAATAGGACCCAAGACAAAGAATCTGACCACAATAGAACTAGTCAACCCAAGGCCATAATAATCGACAATTACATCAACATCCCAAAGGGCGAGGTAATTCCAATTACCGTCATCCGCCTCCCTAAGGGATAAACCCAACCTCACCCAATTCTACCATGACAAACAACCTACAGGATACTTCAAGGACAGAACCGGACACCACCTCAGAGGTTGTCCCCCCCGTACCTCTGTCACGTAGACTAAAATCAGTCATCAGATTAGAAACTTCTTCTGCTAGGCAGAATGCAATATCTCCTCTAATGGCAAACATCGTCTTCAGTGCTATGCCAACATGAACGTCATCCAATCAAGTAAATAAATCACAACCTACATGCCGCCAACCAACACGAACGGGAAATAATCGGGACATCACCACAACATAAGCATCTTCATTACATCACCAACTACTGATACAGAATGAAGTATTCTCCAAAACTCCCAATACATCAACAACAAGTGACTCAAACTCCCATCTAGAAAGTAGAGCAAGCTTTCAGTTTGTGTAGAAGGAACGTGTAGAGGAGAAAACCCAACAAAACCATGAGAAACACATTGATTCGGGTTCTACAGATCCAGACACCCACAAGAGGAGACATTGTACTTCAACTCTTCTCAATTCCTCTCTACAGTCTATACCTCTTAATCCACCCATTCGTACACAGACCTACCGATGTCGAATATTCCTCCTTCTACTCACAAAATTCGGGAGTCCATACTATTTCAATGTGTTAGCCTAGCTGAGCATGACATGCACATAACCTGTAGCATACCTCCAAGTGACGGTGCTCGAAGACCAAACCACATGGACAGCCAAACAAGCTCAAACAATTATTCTTAACGAGACAGCACAAGTACTTTCGGGCATTATTGTGAATACTCACAATACCAAGAAGCATCTTTGCTATTGGGAAGATGCAATATGGGGATATAAATAGGAACAAATAGAGGATAAGACAAGCCACTGCATTTGTTTAGCATTCATACAAGCTCCACTATTAGAGATCAAACTAAAATAACATGATTGTCACATATGGATCTCCCTAGCTCCTATACTTCAGAGCTTCATCCCTGAGGTCAACAAGAATATAATCCGCCTATTGCCACCTATAGCGGCAAAATTCATACAAGAACTACTAAGTACCAGACAGTTTGGCATAGATCCCTCACCTCAGCAACTAAAAAGAAAGAACTCCAAACCACCACCCAAACAAATTGACCACGACCTTGGCTATAAATCCAACAACTCCAAAGAAGAGCGTGAAGCTAGGGACATACCCCAACTCATCCACCCAGAATGAATGCCTCTATGAATATCCTCAGGCTAGGACATGGCATTCAGTGGGCAAATAAAAGAACGGAGATCCGAAACTTCTTTAGAAAAAGCAACATTACAACGTTAGATACTCCTACTATAGAAACACCATTATGACATAGATAAATGCCTACACCACACCAACCAATTACAATTTTAAGGTGGTTCCAATTTTTGGAACAAGAGTATAATACTCAGTAGAAGGCAAAAGATTTTCAAGAAGCATAGCTATCTCTATATCCTGCCAACTTGCTCCATACATAATAGCATCAAGAGTATAATATATCATCCTTGATATTAATAGCTGATACAAGAGTGTTGTATTACATATATTCTTGCTTGAGAATGCACTAGGCACCTAACTATGGAAGGTAAGTAAAAAATACAACAACAATTCTACTAAGTCTAATAGAGTCTTAAATAAACTTTAAGTGACCTTTAATAATCCTAATCAAACTTTAACCAATTCAAAATAAATATAAAAGAAATTACAAAAGAAACATGAAGAAGTCATAAATTAATCTAAAAAATAATAATAAAGAAGTCTTAAAGAAATATAAAAATAAAGATTTAAAGAAAAAAATAATAACTTTAAAGAAATATTATGAATAGAAACTTTTAAAGAAATAATGCAGATTTTTTTTAAAATATTAAAAATAGAAATCCTAAAAATTCTTAAATCAATATTAATTTAATTCTAATTAAAATCTTAATAAATCTTAATCAAATCTTAGATCAAATTCTAATTGAATCCTAACCAAAATCTTAATTAGAATCCTAATTAATTTTAATAAAATCTTAGATTAAATTCTAATTAAATCTTAATTAAATTCTAATAAAAATCCTAATTAAAATTTTGATGAATCTTAATCAAATCCTAATAAAATTCTAAATCCAAATCAAATTTTAAATCCAAGACCAATCCTAATAAAATCCTAAATCAAATCCTAATAAAATCCTCAATCCTAAACAAATTCTGAATAAATCCTATAATAGATTAAAACCTCAATAATTAATAATGAAACTATTGATATCAACTCAAAATTTGTATATCTTTAAACAACTTAGTTGAAAAAAATTACAAAAAAAAATAAAATCAATTGTATATATCAATTGAAAGAAATCTAAAATAATTCATTCTAGTGTTGAGTGGCTGCCTTCTCTAATCTTGATGTCGAGCTCTTAGTACCTATCATGGACATATATTTACTATAATTATTACCTAGATAATATGAATAGGTAGAAGTAGATAAGCACAGATTAATTTCATAATATCTTTTAGAAAAGCTTCCTAGAAGCTTCATAGATGCTGCTTTGACTTTACATATGTTTATACTTGATAGGTAGGTTAGAAACTTGGTCAACAAGTTAACCACGTGCCACACATATTGATAGCTTACAGAATAAGCTAACTATGTGGCATCCTCATAGAAAACTTGCCTTACAAGTTAAGATACGTATTGTGCAAAGTCATCATATTTTTGGAGGTCCTATAGAATGTAACCACGTAGTTCTTAGGTAGATATTATATATAGAGGCAAGAGTGAAGCCTTCTTCACTCTTGTCAACTTCTTTCTTGCTTATAGTCTAGTTTCAAGGGTCTCTAGTTTTCTTATCTTTTGGCAATAGCCATTCCAATTTCTTTCTTAATATACATACTTAGTTATTTCTATTTTGTCATCTTTCTTTGAGAAAAGTCTCACTTATTTATTTATTTTTATCAAATTTTTTTTCTTGATAGTACCAATATCTCCTTCTTAAATAATTAAATTTCTCTCCAAATTCACAAAAATATTAAAAATCAAGTCTATTATCCATAATAATCATTTTTTACTTCAATCCAAATAACATATCACTGAAGATCTTAGAAATTCTTACTATTCTTCAAATTCCAATATTTGAGACTTTAATCCACTTGAACTTCATTAACCTTCAATTTAACTATTAGATTAAGATAAAATTCATAATACACATTTAGCACAAATATATTCACAAACCCACAAATTTTTATCCATAGATCTATTACAAAACTTATAAAATTGTCCAAAATGTCAATCTTATTTTATTTCACAAAAACCAAAGTAATCCAAAACAATCTTGACTTTGCAAAGCTCTTCTAAAATCATTAAAAATTCAAATCCTTCAAAAATAACTCTCAAAGAAGTCTAACCTATCTAGCTTTCAAATCAAACTTTCTAATTTGCTAAAAAAACTTGGAGTCGCTACAAGTATGAGATTTTATATCTTAGGATTTAATTTCAACTTAGGTTCACAACTAATCTTCTTTAAGTATCAATTTTTGATAATTTGAGGTAATTTTTACTTAAATATATTTTTAAATCTCTCATAAAGATACCTATATTATTTATTTATCTTATTTACTTTAATTTAAGGCATTTATACTCCTATAAAATAAATAGAAGTTCTTTCTATAATTTTTATTATCTTCATATTATTTATCCTTATTTTTTTATTACATCTTTTTATTAGGCTCTTCTATAATAACATCCATATTTTTATTTTTTATCATATAATTATATTACCACATGACATTGAGATAGT